GTCAGAAGCGTCTTGCCTGGGCTAAAGAGAAACAGGACTGGACTGCTGGTGAGTGGTCCAAAGTCATGTTCTCTGATGAAAGTAAATTTTGCATTTCCTTTGGAAATCAAGGTCCCAGAGTCTGGAGGAAAAGAAGAGAGGCACTTCATCCACGTTGCTTGAAGTCCAGTGTAAAGTTTCCACAGTCAGTGATGGTTTGGGGTGCCATGTCATCTGCTGGTGTTGGTCCATTGTGTTTTCTGAGGTCCAGGGTCAACGCAGCCACATACCAGGAAGTTTTAGAGCACTTCATGCTTCCTGCAGCTGACCAACTTTTTGGAGATGCAGATTTCATTTTCCAACAGGATTTGGCACTTGCACACAGTGCCAAAGCTACCAGTACCTGGTTGAAGGACCATGGTATCCCTGTTCTTAATTGGCCAGCAAACTCTCCTGACCTTAACCCCATAGAAAATCTATGGGGTATTGTGAAGAAGAAGATGCAATACACCAGACCCAACAATTCAGAAGAGCTAAAAGCCACTATTAGAGCAACCTGGGCTATCATAACACCTGAGCAGTGCCACAGACTGATCGACTCCATGCCACGCCGCATTGCTGCAGTAATACAGGCCAAAGGAGGCCCAACTAAATACTGAGTGCTGTACATGCTCATACTTTTCATGTTCATACTTTTCAGTTGGCCAACATTTCTATAAATCCTTTGTTTTTATTGGTCTTCAGTAATATTCTAATTTTCTGATATGATGAATTTGAGATTTTCATTTGTTGTCATTTGTAATCATCAAAATTAAACAAAATAAACATCTGAAATATATGAGTTTGTATGTAATGTATGAATATAATATACAAGTTTCACTTTTTAAATGGAATTACTGAAATCAATCTACTTTTTCATGATATTCTAATTTTATGACCAGCACCTGTATAAGCGGCAGTTCGGGTTTTTAACACTGATCTCTATTTATCAAATTATCCGGTTCTTGTTGCAACTGAGAGCAAAAAGCAAAATATGAACCTTGCCTGTTATTTTACCAATTTATCAGATTTTGCTAGTGTAGAAACTGAAGCTCTGTTGAGTTATTAAATTGGTTCATTAATTTAGCTCTTTTGTAAATCTGTCAGATTTAAAGGCTAATGCACAGACATATAAAAGTATATGGCATCATGCATGCACAATCTGCAAATACAAAAATACTATACTATTAACAGACATGTAGTTGTAATTTAGTCTTTATGTAAAACATTAAAATTATACGCAAGATATAATTACCATAACAATGTCATCAATACATGCATATTACATGTACATCATCGATTTAGCACTTTTGGGACATCTGTATTATTACGCTCCATTAACATATTAATTTTATTGTATAATATGTTATATAACATGATTTATTGACTTCATAATGATGATGCAATGTGATGTGCCTTTTCTTTTGTTAATTATAAGTTAAAGTAATCTACTTATGCTATGAAACAGCAAGTGTGTACCAAACTGATGAAATTATCTTTATTTTAAAAATCTTAAAATTCCCCTGAAAATGAGAAAAAACATCATCGTCGTTCGATGCTGTAGGAGACATATTGTTTACATCTAACTAGGGAGTACCAATGTGGCTTCACTTCAACCCCGTACTACAAACGGGCCATCAGTAATCCAGTGAATAAATAGAGATCAGTGGTTTTCAACCTTTGTGTGAAACAGTTCTTCTATCGTACATGGATCTACATCTAGCTGCAACTCTACCCTCTCCTGTGTGTTGGTTAACTCCCTTTAAGTATATTACCACCACTTAATGGGCTGGAGGAAGAAATTTAGTCTTTTATTCTTGTTAAACGTAATGTGACTAAAACTGAGTGCCTCTGCAATTTGTCAATTTTGCTAAATTGTGATAATATTACAAAAGCAATTTCTTGCACAGCTCTATTAACAGGTATAATCAATGACAATATAGCGGCCACTAGTCAGGCAGGCTAATAATGCATTACTCTGCGACATATATCACAGTAAATCATGAGTGAAATTTTTAACGGGAGTGCAAAGATATAGTTATTTAAAGCACCTATCACTAACTTTAAAGATTAGGCAGCCATGTTGGATTTTGGGGTGTAAAACTAAATTAGAATTACCGGTACATTTATTAGAAAAACATATAATCATGCCTTCTGATTAAAAATAATTGTTTCTAAAATAAAGAAAAGTTCACTACAAGTTCAAAAAAGTCTATCTTAAAAGTGTTAAATCAGTGTGAAAATATTTCAAAATCCTAGCTCCATTGGTATCGTTATCGGTCAGAGCTTTATCTGATTTTGTTGATAAATCTGATTGGTGCTTCTCTGAGTCTAAACATCCAAGCACCATCTTTGGGTAATTAAATTATACAGAGAATTTGAGTGTCAAGACTCGAGCTGGGGGAGCCTTTTCACATCATAGTGTGGAAATTCAAATTTAGTGTAGCCTTAATGAGAAATTCAGCAGACCGTTTAAATGTGGCCACATAGAGCTGAAGTCTTTAATCCTGGCAGTTCCCCGCTGTGATGCAAGAGCTTACCAGTTGATCAGACCTATTAGGACTGACGAGTAAACAGTCCTGTCGCTACTCTTTGATCAACAGGTTCCAAGTAGAAAGATTAGAGAATAATGAGACTGATAAAAGTGCAAATGAGTCGGACAGATTATTAATAGCAGGGGAAGACATTAGGAAGACAAGAAGTGAACAACAGCCAATAATAAATGTTCCCTCACCAGAGCTGGAAGCTCTAAGGACAAAGAAGCCTGAGAGGGATCATGCTTATCATCTGCTCTCCGGGTCAGAGTCACACACGCCACTCAAAAGAGCTGCCTGACATCAGCAACAGCTGAGAAACATTAGAGTTTAAAAGGGTGGTAACTAACACTAAACACCCTGATAAGGCTATAAATTCTTCTGACGCTGAATCCTGAGTTTAGGCGGGTTGGTTTGTGTCTGGAAATCCCCATAATGAGGCATTCTCCAAAGAAGACTTTATGGATCCCGACCATTTTAAACCTACAAATTGGAGGAGAAAGAGGAGTTCTTGATGTACAAAATGGAAAGAACAAATAATATTTTTCAAGAAGTGTGTCGTCAAAGCTTTTTGTCACTGCCTCTGGCAATGAAAGACTCATTCACGTCTTACAAGCAGCACTAACACCCTAATCACAGCTCTGAGTGTCAAACAACCATCCCACTTCAACCTCAGAGGTTTTGTTACGTTTTTTGCCAAAGGGGTAATCTGCGTGATGTTCTAAATATTCAAATTTTACCATGAGATCTACAGCTTGCCTTGCAAAACAAAAGACACCCCCCCAACTAAAAAGCTACAAAAACAGTAAAAAAAAAATAAATAAATAAAAAGTTGCTTACTAAAGTTAAATCCTTCCTCTAAACAGCTGATGTATGAGAACAGGAGGCCAGGCAACAATCACGTCTGACCCACATTTTTCCAGCTCTCAAATTTCAACCTCAATGTTCCTTTGCGCAGCTCTATTCAGCAGGAACTGGAGGAATAAAAAAAAAGGGAGACTACTTATCCACATCAATGGCTTACCTAATTATGGGTTGTGAAAAGATTGCAAATAACACTTTTGATCCCAAGCGTGTTGAGAATTTGTGCACACATGCTGCCAATTCAGACTCGCCATTGGCCATATGCAGCGACTGGAGGGGTTTTAAAAGTCCATTCAACCTTGCAAGATAATTGTTGATAGATCAGCTTGCACTTTATGACGTGACAAGAGTTGTTTTTGCAAAGCCCTGACATGCTGGTCACTTAAAACTTTAGAAGTGAGCCAGCGTCTGGACTCATAAAGTTGAAAGAAAAATGGGGCAATAAAGCGCAACTTTTCTTGTTAACGGTACGGTTGTCTGACATAGCTGGGAATTTACAGCATAAGATTTCTTAGGTATCCCCCAACCAACAATATTTGTAATATTTTTGGGGGTTATAGAATAAATTCAACGTTAAAACAAATGCAGCAAAAACAATGTCATATGATGTGCATTGCCTCTAGGGAAAGCAGAAATGTTGGAAAACAATGATGCTACATTTTTTCACTATGGTGACATCATGTGCATGCTCTTCAGTCTCCATTTGAACGTTAGATTCTATAAATGTTTAATAACAGATTTTATCAAAAGGAGATCAGTGTCTATATTACAATCTGCTTTACTGGCCCTTGTTAACCCTGAGGAAACACATGGTTCTTCTAGTGTTAACTGAGTAATGTTTCGACTGATTTTTTTTTTTTAAATGCTTTATCGTTATGTACAAAGTTATACTGAGTAAATCTTATTCCATTTGAGGACATTCCTAGCAACTTTAAAACGCTTGCAATCCTCAAGTTTCCTTTTTTTTAAGAGATAATCAGAATCTTTCAATCTGAACTTGTGCAGTTTTGTTCATAACACATCCAGGTGTTTGTCTCCACTGCAAGTTATGCACTTGAAGAGTTCTGCTGTTGCTGAGAAATCTTGCATTTTACTTAATTTTATTATATATTTTGATAAAAACATCTAAAATTTAAGTTGAAAGTCAAACTTATTTGTTGGTTTTCCTTCAAACAGGATTAACTAAATATAATCATAAAAGAAAAAAATCTAAAGTTAAAAAAGTCAAAATATTTCATCAATTACATTTGACATTTTTCATTATGTGATTTTTTGAAAACTTTTAAGAGAAAATTTAAATGCATTTTTTTTTTATAAAACTGACTAAAATATCTACAGTCCAAAAAAAAACACTTTTATCACATTTAAAAGTTTTCCAAACACAGATCTGATGCACTAACTTTAACATTTGTGTTCTTAAAAGCCACTTTTTCCCCTTAGCAGAGGGAATAGATACCACTTTTTTGTCCATGCGTGCAGGACAAACAGAGGTCCACAGCTGTCCTGTCCCAGAACACTGAAGCGTGGAGAGAACAAAGAGAGGAGACACATGCACACAACTTTTCTTTTCTCCCATTTTCTTACCAAAACGTGTGCGAACCTCTCCTCCAGCTCCCCCGGCTCTGGCATGGGGAGTTTCAGGGGCATGTTGTGTCCCCTCATGTCGCTGTGTTGGTCCATGCTCCCTGCGTTCCCCATGATTTCTCCCTTTTTTATATATATAAACACCAACAGGCAGCAACTTTTTTTTCTTTCCTTCTTCTTTACGCACGAGGAGAAAAAAATCCGCGCACTTTATTAGAAATATCCCACGCGCCCTTTGGTGTTCTGCCTTTTTATGCGGCTCTTATCAGGCTTCTCCGGCTCACTGCTTGTTCTTTAAAATAAAACACATGAGAGGTGGGCGGCATAACGCGGCGGGTCCCTGAAGAGGCATTTTCCACAAGGAAAGAGACCTGGGAGCGAGACTCAGTCCACCTCTCCTCCTCCTCCTGGGATTATCCGTATCTTTCACAATTTCGGCTTCGCTCCCAGTCTGCAAAAATGACGCCGACCATGACTCACGTTTGTTTCGATCTCTAGAATGTGTCTATAATGACTGAGCGGAGGCTGGCTTTCCTAATCCCTGCACTGCTGACCAGTTTGTTAAGGAGGAGGAAGGAGGAGGCTCCCGGAGCCCTTTCAGGGGCCAAACCTCCCACTTCTTATTGAGGCGTAGCTTCTAAGCCCGTAACTAGGGAAATGATACACGCGGTGCATTGTGGTAGTTGGAGTTTGAGGCCCAAAAAAAGCAACATTGGCGCCACAGGTCAAAGGCGCACTTATGCCACCGGTGGAGCTATCATTCCTCACCTTCACTAGACATGGATATACTTTAGTATATTCTGCTGTAAAATGAATCTTATTGGCCTACTTTGAGTTTCAAAGCTCCCCTCCTCACCCACAGAGACGTAGCCAGAAAATATTTATAAGGGTAACCAATGTAGACTGAGGGGTGGCCGAAAGTAGATAGGCACCAACACATCAGGCACCAACACATCAGGGTCAATCTACACTGTTCCAACATGAAAATTAGCGAGCAAAATATCCATATTTTATAAATAAAGACAAACTATACTTTCCCACAGCCTTAGCTAAAAAAGAAAAATAGGTGAATATATTCAAACATCCGCGCTTTCTAGATAAAAGGTATAGTGGATACAATTCTTTCAGGTTTGAGTTTTGGGCAAACATCTTTTCCATTGTCATTACTTACATACTTTTATCAGTAATCATTCTGCATAAAATGTATATTAATAAGTACAAATTTCTACATTAATTGATTATTTAATAAGTTTATATTAAAATGGTTATTTATCTATGATTTCACTAAAGACTCTTTTTTCTCTTTTCCTCATAAAACACAAAATCAATTTCTGCTTGAATTCTGTTTTTATCATCTTTAATGTTCGTATAATGATGTGCATAAGTAACCGTTTTTGTTGTCAAGTAATTGTTGATATATGAAAAATTTAAATGTTTTGAATGTTCCATTTGAGATCGCTGCTGCCACCATCTGCATTAGAGGGAAATAAATGGTAGGGGTGGCCACAGGGGTGGCCAATGATTGGCTAAGGGTGGCCATGGCCATGGCCACCCTTAGCCCAGCCCCTGCTCACCCACACTCTCTCCATTCATCTCCTGGTCGCAATCTTTACTTACTGTAGCAGCAACATCCACCTCTGCCTCTTCGGTTCTTTGAAGATCTTTAAACATCAACAGAGGATTGATGCTCATAACATATCTATGCTGTCTCCTATAAGTACGCCTGTAGGAAAAATCTGTTTATCTAGTTATTCCAGAAATAATAAGTCAGTAAGAACTTTATTTCAATTGAATACAATGTCTTTGCCTCATGCTCTTTCTCATTAGAAGTCATTTGTGGATGATGTGCAATGGAAAAAGGTTGGGCTGATTCCTAATAAATTTCAGATAACAAATAAGATTAAAGAAATCTCCTTTATACTGATCCATAGAATTTACCCAGCTAAAGTCTATCTACAAAATAGATTCAAACTGAACATTGATATACTATGCAGCTTCTGTAAGAACTCCCCTGAAAAAGTGCTCCATTTAATTTGGAACTGCCAATTTGTTCATGGCATGGCAATGTGTTCTGGCAAAAAATATGCAGTCTGATCCAGGATAAAATTGATAATAGTTTTCTTCTGTTCTGGAGAGATGTGTTGTTTGGAATTGTAGCAAAGGATCCCCATGTTAATTCTACTGTGTACCTAATAAATCTGCTTGTTATTATGGCCAAATTTTATATCCATAAATGCCGATTTAGAGGTAGAACGTTATGCTTTATTGCATTTTTTTACGAATTCAAACAATACATCCACTCCATCCAACATTCTGAAAAGCAAAAGGCAATTAAAACACTGTCTGTATGTGATATGTTCAACTTACTGTCATAGATTGCAACCCCCTAGCTTGTTATTTCTTTTCTGTCTTTTCATTCCTAATTGTTGCTTGTCTTGTATTGCACTGTTACTCAGACCAAAACAAGTGTATTTTTCTACATATTTTAGGTTGTTGATCCCATGTATTCAAGACAATGTGTAATTGTCTGTAAAGTCACTAAGTGCAATAAAGATTTCTTAAAAAAGAAAAAAAAAATCTACAGTTCTTTGAAAGAACATGTTTATTTTGGGAAGTTTTTTTCCCTTTTTCCAGCAGCTCTTTGCCTTTTCTTTTCTGGAATCCGCTTAAGTACCTCTTTTTGGCATCCATTGTCGCTAACACATTGTACGTAACGGTTATGGTTTAATCTACCCCCTGGATTACCCATAATTTCAAGCAGTAGCATAAAAAATAAAATACTCAAATACATCCCTTTTAAGATCTTTATTGCGGTTTGAAACATATATTTTTATATTTTACCAACCGTCTAATGAACAATACACAGTTATTAACACTGTAATTAAAAGTACCACTGTCAGCTTTTCAACACCATCATGTTGAAATCTGTCATGTGTTGGGATATAAACAAGGTCCGGTCAGATGAACTACTATCAGGTAGGTTTAAGATGAATTTTTCAGACCACAACGTTTGCAAAGAGACGTCCTAGTCCACAATTACGTAGGGGGCCTACCAGGTGTCAGGGGGCCCCTAAGCAACTGCAGTCTCTGCTTACCGATAGTTAAGCCATTGGCCAAGCCTACCATTTATTTCTCTCAAGTAGAATATTCAAAACATTTTAATTTCATATATATTAACAGTTACTTGACAACAAAAACACTGTTGTTATTATGCACATCAATATACCAACATTAGAGATGATTAGTACAGAATTAATGCTCTTTGAGATCTAGATTTTGTGTTATATGCCATAAAGAGAAAATAATGTGTCTCTGCAAGTCATCTAAGAGTCTTCAGTGAAATCATAGATACTGTAAATAACTATTTTAATAAAAACCTAAAAAAATATCAATTTATGCAGATATTTGTACTTGTAAATATCAATTTAATGTAGAATGATATTGATAAAAGTAGGTAAGTAATGACGATGGAAAAGATGTTTGCTCCAGAATGCAGACTTCACAGAATTGTATCCAATATAGCTTTTATCTAGAAAGATGTTTAAATATATGCATCTATTTGTTAGCAAAGGCTGTAGGAAACTATAGTTTGTCTTTTTTTAGGAATATGGACATTGTGCTTGTTCCTGTTGGAACAGTGTAGCTTGACCCCGAGGTTTTGGTGCCTGTCCACTTACGGCCACCCCTCATTATATATTGGTTATTTCCTGGCCACCCTTATAAACATTTTCTGGCTACGCCTCTGGCTTATGCACCAATGAAATGGTTTATAGTGTCAATAAAATGCATCAAAAATGCAACAAATCATTTTCTTGTTTTCTTTTAATTCCATATAGGAAGCAGCTCTTAAACTCCATTTATATTAACACAAAACCAAAAATGCTAGAACTTCTAGTTTCAGAAGCTGTAAACTTATGACTGAAAAAAATTCTAGATTGCGTGGATTTGTCTTGATTTTTTTTTTCTTATGTCTTATAAATTTCCCATAGAAAGTTTTGTTCTTGAAAGTCTGTTTAGCTCTTTTTTCCTAGTTGAAGACGCTAAGAAGATTCATGTCATCAGGGGCGGAGCTAGATAGGGGGCAGGGGGGGGCATGGACCTTCTCTAGGTTAAATCCTTTTTTTTCCCTTTTTTTTTTTAAAGAAATTGTTTCTCTGCTTGGTTGTCCTGGTTGGTTGTCCTGATGCAACAATTTGATGCAGTTTGAAGCTTCCTTAGAGATGTATTTATAAACTATATTTAAATGAACACATACATTTCTAATTAAAACTGGATTGCATTGAACTGTATGTAAAAAATTAAATACTTTGTCATTTTACCAGGTGGGATTACAACAATAAATTTATATAATAAAATCATTAATCTGGAAGACTTATTTAGCTCCACTAGTTTAAAAGCTGAAATTTTATCTGTTGTAATATTTGATTGTGATTACAAGATAAAATATAACTTCATGAAAGCTTATTAGAGCAAAAATAAGTTTTAAGTTTAAAAAAATGTATTTGCAGCTAAGTTTCGTTTAGTAAGTTCTCCATTTATCTGCAGAGATATATTCCAGGCATTGCCTCTTTCTATAAAGCCTTTTGTGAGGCACTCCAAAGACAAACACTCTTCTTTTGTTATTTGTCTTCAAGATCCATGACATGCATCATGGAGAACTCTGAGCTGTTTTTCAGGGAGGGGTCTGGCTTCTTACTCTAGAACGTGACATCAGCTCACACAGATCTGGAGATAATCCAGAAGTTCTCCAGATGCACAGTGGTTTCATTCAGGCTGTTTGACTGATTCCACAGAGGTGGGCGTCACATCCGAGCTTAGCTCACTGAAGATGGGTAACACAGCTGACTGAGCTCATAAAATCATTACAAGTTCCCGCTCCAAAGGATGTTTACCGACTGAATTCCCATTCCAGCATCATGAGCACTTCATGAACTTTATCAACCTTACATTTAAAATAAAGTAGTTTTTTACAGATGTTACAGAAATGCAGATTTTTTTTATTATTGAGAAAATGAAATTGGTATATTTAGACTAGGACTATTTTAAGAAAAATATTTCTCCAAGTTAAACTGTATAAATCTAATTTCAGAAAATAAGATTAAACTAAAAAAAAAAAAAAACATTTCAGACACGTTAAAATTTTAACAGACTATAAAAAAAAATCACAAATTTAAAAAAATTGTTTTTTAGCTTTTCTCCACCATATGAAACAAGGTGTTGGCAGCATCCTGCTTTAGGGATGATTTTCTTTATTGAGGACAAGGAAACTATGCAGAACTTTCTTAAAGATGGATGGAGCTAAACACAAGAAAATCCACATATTAAACCTATTGGAGTTTGCAAACAATGTAAAAATAGATCAGAGATGTATCTTCCAAAGGAAAGATAGTAATAAGCTACAATGGTCCAGTCAAAGTTCAAACCTAGAGCCTATAGAGAATCTGGTCAGACTTGAAAAAGGCTCTTTTTTTACTCTCTATCCAATCTTTCTTGGACAATTTTAATGAGAATAATAGCCAAATGTAATCATTCTCAAAATAAGGAAAGCCAGTAGACAAAACCACCAAATGAATCTGAGACATCTT